CAACATTTGGGGCACTAAGTTCTTAAAGGCCAAATACAACAAATTCTACAAGCTACATAAAGAGGTAAACTCCTAACCAGTATTTTATGTTGTTTATGTCAATTGTATGCTAGTTGTAGGCTTAATGCTTTGGAAACAATATTGCATGTATAATAAGAGAAAACATATATCCAAAGCATTTAGGGTTGTATGTGCACCATAGGATGTTGTAGTATACAAAACCCAACAATGGTATCAGAGTCATGGGTTGTTTTCTGTTATATTGATGCAAATGTTTGATTTTCAAAGTTGAAAAAAAAAACATCAAGTTTGTCAAATTTTAAGATAATTACTTGATTTTATGAAAAACTAATTATTTGTAAAATTTGAGTCATTTTACTACAAGAGTTGAATTAGGTCAATTTATTAAAAGATAGAATGATATGATTATTTTATTTGTTTTAAAAGTTTGATCTAAATGTTTTTAAGGAGTTACAAATTTTGCCATAAAATTTTGGAACTCAAAATCTTTTTTAAAAGTTATGATCTTCAGAGTTTTGAAACTTCCATAAGTTATGGATGGAAAAGTCTCATTCATTAAGTCTTTAGGTTATGAATTCCAATAGTCTTCAAAGGTTACAAAATTTGTTATAAATGGCTTTGAAAAGTTTCATAACTTGCCCTCAAGTTATAGAACTTGGAAAGTCTCTTTTATGGAATTCTAAAAGTTTTCAAGAGTTGCAAAACTTGCCCTCAAGTTTTGGAATTTGAAAAGTTTTTTTATGAGACATTGAATTCAAAAACTAAAGTTATTTGAAAAGTTTTCAAAAGTGTAACTCATGGGTTCATAACTTAATAATAAATTAAATAGTTTTAATTTTGTTTTAGCATCTTTATGTTTTGAATAATTCATATTACATCTTTATGGACTTTATTAATAGTTAATTAAAGTGTTTAATTAAAAGAGAAGTAATAATTCGATAATGACATGGTTTAAGTTTAATTAAATTAAGAGTATAGTTTAATTAATAGATTAAACCACTTAGTATTTTAAAAGTTTAAAATACACCCTTATACTATTATAATATTAAAAGTTTAATATATTATATGTATAAGTAAAAAGCCGGTCTTACCGTTAGTAGGCCTCATTCACGAAGTCGTTCTATAAGGGGGGCATAAGGTTACTGCCTATAAAATGGCGGTTTAATGGGTGTCCACTCTCACCCACCGCTTCCTTGACTGGTGGAGGGTCGTTAGCCGAACGGGTAGGATAGGACATTAATTCTCATTAAAAGTATAATGAAAATACCAAGTAACTAAACACTTATAAATTCACAATCTTAGTTACTTAGGAAAAATGTGAATTTGGTGCTAAACCATGAAATTGCACTTTGCACCTTGTTAAGTCGTTAGTGGAGCGCGTGTGGTTAACCGACACACTAATATGGGACTGACAGGGTGTGGCAAAGGTTAGCTTGATGTTATAGATCAATGGAGCGTGTGTGGTTAACCGACACATTGATTAGGTGATCTGTAACATTAAGAGTACCAAGCACATTTGCATGGTTAGTCACACCTTGTTTGTGATCATCGGTATCCCAGTCACAAACTTGAAGGGCACAATTGAGATTTAAACATGCCATTGAAAAGTTCAATGAATCTCAAAAGATCTAGGAATTTCAATTCATTTAAAACCTAAAATTCATTTTCGTTTTTCATGGTGGAAATTGGTAAATCGTCATTTACCAACCTTCAAATATTTTGCAATTGGATTACGACATCCCTCTTCCGAATTGTAAAAATATTGTGTGGGGTCCTAGCCTTAATATATTCATTTTGGGTGTTATATTAAGGATTTAATCAACTAACTTGAATTTCTCCCAAATAGATGTGTAGTTCTGACAACTATGGTCTTCCTTACTCTTTTGGAAAAAGCTTTCCTAATAAAGATGATATCCCACATGGTGATCAAGGTGAAAGATTAATCCCTTTGTCGTGCATTAGTGGGACTGGAAATCATACTTCACTTCCTCCACCTCCTCCAATTATTCTCCCTAACCCACATGTTCAAAGACTTGAAAAAGTTCAAGGTCATTCAAGCCCTATTGGCAAGCAAACACAAAGATGGAAATTATGTATGTGCTTACATCTTGAAGATGAAGTTACATATTGACTGGCTGGGAGAGTTTGGTGTCGAAGTCTCGAGGAAGTTGGCTGTTGACTGGGTTCTTCAATCACTTCCTGAGTCGTATAGCAGGTTCATTAAGGACTACTATATGACAGACCATGACATGACCCTTATTCATCTTACCTATCTTCTTATTGCCGCTGAATCAGAAATGATTTGGCACATTGTTAAAGCAAAGTTGATTGGAAGATCTACTTCCCAAATTTCCATGGACAACCGTGACAATCCAGAAATGATTTCTTCTCCTAGGAGAGGGAAAATGGCTAAAGTCAAAAAGTTTGAACTTAAGAGAAATGCCAGTTCTGGGATTGTCTCATGTGCCGATGTGAAAGAAACCATTTGTTTCTACTGCCATTTGGAGGGACATTGGTTGTGAAGCTGCCATATATAACTGAAAGATCCAAGGATGGTAAAGTCAAAATATTTGACTCTACTTCAGGTAAGTCCACTATCTAACTCTATCAAGTTCCTATTTGGAGATTCTTAAAACAAGATGTAATGTAATTACATTTTTTGAAGGATCGAAGAAAATAAAGGAAGCTTAAAGGAAGGGTAAGCTGATGATTGATCGCGAAGAGATGGATTTCGATCACATGGCTCGATGATCAGAATTTTGAGCTGCTGCTTAAGAGTTATGATAGATTGCTTAGGAATATATAACAACATAGTTTTCATTTGTATTTTCATTGTAAGGACAAGTTTTCAGCACTTTCATGAATAAAGAAAAAAATTTTGATTTTTATTTTAAAGTCTTCTTACAATGGCATTTGTGAAAATCGTTGTTTATATGTTTCCATAGATAGCAATATTGGAAAATGAATTTGATCTTTCATTTGTGGTAGAGTCAAAATTTACCAAATAAGGAAAGATTCTCATCACCCAAGTTTCAATTGGATAGAAAACTCGGAATCATGTAACTTGTATTGTGTGATGAATGATAACCTTCATCTTTGGGAAATTAAGACTAATTCCTTGTTCACATGTATATGTGAATCAAGTGAAGGACTAGGCGATCGGGTACACTTGGTTGTGCGCTGGTCAGGTCCACCACAAAGAGCGATAAGACTATTCGTCATGATTTACTAAAGCTTAGTAAATATGGTTATGCTTACAAGATTAAGTATAATTTTGAATCGTTGAAAAAGTTTCCATGTGTAGCAGAACGAATAAGATGAATAAAATTAGGCAAAAAGGTAAAAGTTTCTCCAATCTGAAAGGACGGGAGAGTACTTTAGTATCGTGTTTTATGATAGTCTTAATGATTATGAAAGACCATATCACAATTGATCCTCTAAGGACATCTTAGTGCACTTGTTTGGCTAAGAAGAGGAATCGTGAATTGTTGAAATGGTTAAATCAAAAGGTGAATCATACTTCGTTCCAAGAACAAGTCTTAGAGTCATACTCCAAGATTGTAACTTGAGTGACATAATCTTAAGAAAGGTTTATAACACTTGTCAAATGTAGAGTAAAATCTTTTCTACTCTTGTACATTTGAAATTGGTAAGTTGTGATGTTTTGGATAAAACAAAGACCAACTAGGACCAATGGTGTGAAGTGTTTGTCTTGATAAGAAACCGCACTAACTCTTGAATATTTGTTTGTCAAGTGATGTCTCTTGACAAAGAGAAACTTATATGTCAAGAGGTCAGTAGGAGTCTTAAAGTTCTTGAGAAGTTTTAAGAACTAATCAAGAGTAAACCTATTGTTAATCACTAGCACACGACTTGAGGTCAGTAACCTATCGTGTTGACATATTCACTACTAGAAAACAACCCTTTAATGACGCACAAACAATGACACTCGCTGATAGAGGACGCGCATTTGTGCGTGCCCTAAAAAATAATGTCAGTTTTATAAAATTTGAAGGATAGAGGACACACATTTGTGCGTGCCCTAAAATTAGTGTCAGAAAAGAAAAAAAAGAAATGCGGAGGGCGCCTTTCATAAAATGTACGTCGTCTAAATGTGTCGCTTTATAACATTTTAATGAAACACGCGTTTTTAAGGCGAGATTTCACCCGCCTATTGAATCCCAAAAATTAACCCCCCCGCCTCTTCCAATTAGCAAGAAAAAACCCTAGCCTTTGTCTTCATAGCAGCATCGCACCACCACCCAACCTCCGATCTCGCACCGCCAAGTGTCTCCGACCATCTTCTCCAACCATTCTTTCGTGTCGCACTACACCGATGACAAAACCCCCATCACTATTTTAGGTCATCATTCACCAACAACCTCACTATTCTGAGACTTTAAATCGAGTGTTCATTTGACCATAAAGTCAAAATTAAATCGAATGTTCATTCGACACAAAGTCATTGATACGGCCGACGACACCTCTGCCTCCGGTCTATAGTCGACGACACCGACAGAGCCTCCTCCTCCGGTACGATCCATCAGCCATGAGACCACAAATCAACAAGAAAGGTGCGTATAGTTTTAGTTTGTGTTTCTGTCAGGGGATTTTTTATACTCCTCATTTCACCTTTTATTTTCAAGAAAATCATATTTATGAAAATTGTAATTATAGATCGTTGGAAGCATATGAGTTGTGGCTGTAGGTATGGATTTAGGGAAAGAAGGGCCACTGGTTCAAAAGAATGTTCATTCCTTTTAAGCCATCGTTATATGACATCTGTTGGAATTCGTTTCTTGTAGGAAATTTCTGTTGATTTCTTTGTTTACAATTTTAGTTTAAAGAAGTTGTACAAATTTGAGATTAACTGTCTTCAAAGAAAACGATTGAAGAATTCCATACGGCTTTTCTATTTAGAGAAACTGTTTTTCATACAACTTTTTCGTTTCTTCAGCAGATATCAAGCTCTTAATCTCATGGTGACAGTAACAATGGCAACAATAGCTGGTGCAGCTGCTCTGTTATATTATACTTTAAACAAAAAACTACAATCCGGCACAACACCCGATGATGAAGAAGAAAGTGATAGCCTTATACAAAGTCATGGTCCTTCAGGAGTTGAACGAGTATCCAATAGACTAATCCAGGCTCCTGCAACATGGCTGGAAACCATTTCAACTTTGTCAGAAACTCTTCGATTTACATATTCAGAAACTTTAGGTAAATAGCCAATTGGAGATTTAGCTTTGGGCATCAACTATTTGTTAAAAAGATAGGTTAGCATGTAACATGATGTCAATTTCACCATGATTTGAGGCTTCATTTGATTGATGAAATCTTATAACCTTGATCTAAAAGGGAATTTGCATGTTAGTAGTGTATATGGAGGTGAAGAAAGCATGCAACTTACAGGTCCTAAAATAGTTTCTGAGCTTAAATATCTATTGGATTTGTTGACTCTTTGTTGGCATTTCTCCAAAAAAAACATTTCCCATGTTTCTAGAGGAGACAGGCTTTTCACCTGAAGATGTTCTTATTCAGGAACCCAAAGCCGGAGTAAGTATTCTCTCTCTCTCTCTCTCACTCACTCTCTCTCTCTCTCTCTCTATATATATATATATATATATATATATATATATATATATATAAAGCTGGATTAAGGGCTGTTTCTTTTTTTTGGTGAGGCTGATTTGCTAATTCTCTAGATGACCATTTTACCCTTACATTCTTATGTCAAAAGATTGGTTGATTTATATCAGATTTTGAAGCCGGCTTAAACAATACTAATAAACCACAAGACAAAAGCATTCCTTCTATTAATTCGTGGGACGCACAGCATCAAGGACACTCTAACAGCTGCAACAGGGGCAGTTGTGCCATTTCATCATACAGTTGTGCATGAAGGAGGAGTTACTAATTTGGTATTAGGTTATGCTCATTGTGGAATGCTTGCAGCTGCTCGATGGATTGTAAAGCTTGCAACTCCTCTTCTTCTTAAAGCATTCCAAGATTACCTTAATTATAAGCTTCAAGTATCACTTTTTTACTTTTTATCTTTTCTTTTCTTATATTCCAACTTTTAACATATATATTTAAAAAAAGATTTTACATTGGATTCAGATTGTTGGACATTCTTTGGGTGGTGGAACTGCTGCAGTTTTAACTTATGTCTTAAGGGAACATAAAGAACTCTCTGCAACTACTTGTGTCACATTTGCTCCAGGTAAATCTATCAAGCTATAACATTCTACTTTATTTATTTATTTATTTATTTATTTATTCTCATTTTACTTTTGAAAAATCTAGATTGCTATAATTAAACATTGTTGATATGATAACAGCCTTCATCCATCAGAAATATCATTTGAAGAAGTTGACAAAACAGAAAGCAGCGAAATTGAAGTGATTAAAGATGTTGAGGATGAATTTGATGTGGAGACAGTGATAAAGAAGCAAGAAACACATAATTTATTCTGTCCAAATTGCAATTCTTGTATCACAAAAAGAGTTATTCTTCGTAAACGGAAACGTAAAATCCCGGTTCCTGGTGAAATTGCAAAGCGTAACAACCCCGAAACTTCAAATCCTTCAGAAGTGAATCTTGTTTCTGATGATATTCAACCGTTGATATCTAATGAAGATGATCATGAGAGGACCAAGAGTACATCCCCGCCATATCTACCTACCTCTTTCCATCACCCTACAGAACGATTATGGAAACTACTCGGGTAGAACATCGATGGGAGGACCAAGAGTATGACGAATTGGAGGAGAGTTTGATTGATAGAAGAAAGAATCTCAAACAAACGCCAATTTTCACAAGCATCAATGACGATTTCAGCAGCAATAACGGTGGTTCAATTGGTGTCTTGAATGGAGATCAAGAAAAAGAAGAAGAAGTCAAAGATTTAAGTCAACAAAATGGCATAAAGGTTGATGAAGATGATATAGAGAAAGAGAAACAACAGACATTGGAGTATCTTGTTTATTATGACGCAGATAAAGGTAAAAATGTGAAGATCTGATAACACAATAGTTATTAGAAGTTTTTTTTTAATTCAAGAAAATGCACTATACAAATTCACTTTTGACTGTTATCTTATATACCCTTGAAGACCCACCTTTTTGTCTCCCATGTTTTTTTCTTTATAACAAGACCCTACCTTTCTCTTTCTTCATATTCGGATTCTTCAATTTTAAGGTGATTCTAGGGTTTCTTTTCTCTTAAATTTATCTCTCTTTTCTCTGTGCTTCCATTCCTTGAGAAGTTTAATTGATTTCTGGGTATTGGATTATAGTCTGAACATCTTTTTCTATATCAGATTTAGTAGTGACCGGATTAAGTAATATAATTATACAACTTTAATGTTATTTATAACTCTGTAAGTGGAATTGATGTTGTAAAGATTAGGCATTCCATCCAGCCTCTCACCTATCTAGCTTTCAGTTCGCAAAAACCAAAAGGTAACCCAGATGTTTAATGGAGATTCTTCTTTTAGATAATTAAGAAATTGCATCTTTTTTTCCTTTTTCTTTGACTGAAGGAATATGGAAATGTCGAATCTGCTCCTGGGATTATGAGGGTAACACTTGTGTCACCAATCATAATCAGAGAACCTGTTTGTTTCATGAAACCAAAGGTATACACCCCTCAATTCACGACAAAGGTCTGAAAGTTGCCATCTTTACAAATAAAAGTTTCCATAGTAAATTGGGAAGTTTCATTAGCAATTTAGCATAGTTGTTGTGTTAATGGACGTGTATAAAGATTTTAGAATAAGATATTAAATTAAAAATAAGTCTAATTTGTTGTATATTTTCAGATATTGGGTTGCGTCTTGAATCATCAAAAGGGGAAGCAAATGGTGTTGATTCAACTTTTCATGGGAAAATCCCCATGAAAGACAACATCAATATAACAATACATAATCAAGAAAACGACTTCAATATAGCAATACACAATCAAGAAAATGGGAATGGTCTGGACTTTGTTATCAACAACCAAATTGGTGAACATGAAAAGCAAAATAACTTATCTGATAACAGCCTTCATCCATCAGAAATATCATTTGAAGAAGTTGACAAAACAGAAAGCAGCGAAATTGAAGTGATTAAAGATGTTGAGGATGAATTTGATGTGGAGACAGTGATAAAGAAGCAAGGAACACATGATTTATTAGGTGCTTGTATTCTCACTTACAGGTCTACCAGTGATTCCGTCCACCATGGTCAGCCATGCATCCTACTTTCTTATCCAACCACAAGGTTAATTACCTTTTATGTAAATTTTTAGATAATTAATTAGTTTCCTATGAATTGTGTTTTACAAGATAATAGCCTATAATTTATAATTTAGATATTTATAAAATTAAAGTTGAATTATTTTCAGGTTGGAACAAGAAAATAATGGAATGATTAATGGAGGACGATAGAGTCATTCCGACATTGAAGCCGAAACATTTGTTCTCTGGGAAACGGTCAAATGGGAAGACTACTAGACGTTAAAGAGGTAAATTATATTTTTATTTAATTTTTATGTGTTAATTTTTTGTGTTTAGGTTGCAGAAAGTACTGCTTGCTAAAAAAGAGGAGGTACGACAAGATAAAGGTTGGCTAGTTTCTTTGTGTTTTGTATGTAAAATATTATGTTGATTTATGCAAGAAATAGCAATGTCGCACTTTTATTTATTAGTTTTATTAAAACATCCTAGTTTAATTTGTTTCCATTATAGGATTGTATGTTAATATTATTTGTTATATCTTATGTTGATCTGATCAAATTAGTTAATAACATATTTATATACCAACTCTATCAGGTAGCTAAACTTGATTGTGTGAGTAATAAAAGTTTTTTTTTTTTTGGTTCAGCTAAATGTTCAGGTCATAGGGCATGGGATGCACTTGTTACACAAGGTCAGTAATCATGTCGTGTATCTAAAATCCAATCGCCGCCATCGATCCAAGTCGACCTCGATCTAGATCAAGGTCACCGAGGGTTGTTAGTTTTATAGGAATGTATAACCCATGTTAGCAATGTATTATTTTTGTTTAACATTTGAATGATTATTTGTATGACATATTATAATTTGTGGAATTTATTTTATTTTTAGTGTATGAAATTTTATTTTATATTATGAGACATTAAATGTGTGATGTAATTTGAAAATTAGTAAATTTACAAAAAATATATATATATTTTAAAACATTTAAACTTTATGACACACAAAAATGTGTGTCGTCTTTCTTTATGACATGAGCTTTAATGATACGCAATGCAAGTCGTAAATGTGAATCGTTTTACGACACCCGAATGCGTGTCATCTTCTTTATGACAGGGCCTTCCTTGACACGCATTGCGCGTCGTAAACGCGCGTCGTAAATGTGCGTCATAAGGTTACGACGCGCAAAAGCGTGTCGTCTCTCGTTATGACAGGGCCTTCCTTGACGCGCATTTGCGCGTCGTCTGAGCGTTTTACGACACGCATTGCGCGTCGTAAAAGGCTATTTTTCTAGTAGTGATTCTTGCTTCTGTGGTCATTCCAGTTAAAGTTTACTATGCATGTGAGTTCTATGAGTTCTCAATTGTTTGCATAACAACCTGGAAGCAATGGCAGGCCCTTGTGCTTCCAGGTGGCAAGAAATTAAGATTGAACAAGTTCAGTCCATATGAGTTTGGATTTGTCACTAACCTTGTATTGTGATTATGGTTATGACAAATTCACATGGATAGGAACACATATACCACAAAAATCTAAGTGTGATAAGGTTTCTCTCCAATTCATGAAAATGATTGTGAGGAAATGCTTTCACTAAGTAGATTTTAAGGAGATAGAAATTGTGATATTTGCATTCTCAAATTCGATTATCATTATGGCATCCCTCTTCATAGTTCAAATTGTGAGAAATGGCAAAAGGTCTAAACATTTGTGACTTATTGTTGTAAGTTCTAAAATTGTTTAGACACACATGTGGGTTATCTAAGGAAAGGTGTATGTGTTTTAGAAGTCTAGATAAAGTCTTATCGAAACATCTTATATCAGAAATATGAACATTAGTAAGAAAGTCAATAAGTATTGATTTCTAGTGGGAGCATAAGTGTTATGCTAGTAAGATAATCATTATTGTGCTAGTGGGAGCATAATTATTATGGTAAGTGTTGAAAGTTAGCAACGTTAATTATAGAAAACAAAAAGTTTCAAATCGCAAAGTTGCAGGGTTTGAAAAGTTGTTTTGCTATAATTAAGGGAGAGGAATTCATACTTCATTTCAATTTTAAAAGCTTAGATTAAGATTTTAATCAAGTTTAGTCAAAAATATATATGGATGTTATGTTGAAAAGATTCGACATAAGGAAATTCTATATATGGAAATATTATAGCAAGAGACTGGTAAAGTATCACGTCTTTATGTGTAGCACCCGATTCCTGGTACGTATTTAATTCCATGAAAATGTTACAATTTACTCTGGGACTTGGCGAGTTGGAGGCCCAACTCGTCGAGTAGACTCAACTGTTGGAAACGGGGGTTTAAGTGACCTACTCAACGAGTCGGAAGACCGACTCGACGAGTAGGAGTTGTCTGGACAAAACCCTAATATTTAGGGTTTGCACCCTATTTAAACAGTTTATCTTAGCCTCCATCGTCCCTATCACTCCCAGAGAGCTGTATATCGAAAACCCTAGCCGTTTTGTATGTTCTAAGGCCATTGTGGTGCATTTGGTGGTTGGTGAAGCTTGAGAGGAAGGAAGAGGCTTGAGAGTTCGAGTTGAGGCTTGGAGATCCAGAGGTTTTGGTCCATATCCAACTCAATCAAGGTAAAATGCCCCTGTTTTGGTCTTCCATGTATTTATTCATCTTTAGAAGCTTGGACTTTGGGTACATTTAGGGCTTTCCAAGCCATTTTCGGATTTGTGAGGTGTACATGGAATCTTGACTTCAGATCTGAGTCATTGGATTGGAGGGGTCTCATGGCATAAAGGTGCCAAATTTAAGGCCATGAGAGCCACATGCATTTTTGTAGAACACCTTTTATGTCTTTTTTAGCCAAAGACCCCATGCATGTGCACCAAGTTTGGAGCTTTACGTGTAAAATGGACATTAGAAGGCCATATCTATGGTTTCGAGGTGTTAAGACCCATTTAAATCGATTGTATAGTAATGGTCAAGGTTGGACTCGACGAGTCGTTCTTGGGACTCGGCGAGCCGGGGTGTATTGACCACCAAAATCCCTTCTGTGGATGGACCAGTTGTTAGGATGGGAAGTCCCTTAGTTGTTTAGACGCGTAAAGGGACCTGGGAATCATAGGACTCGGCGAGTGTATGAACAGACACGGCGAGTCCAAGGCAATCTCTCAATCTTTGAAGATGGACTCGACGAGTTGTTCATACAACTCGGCGAGTCATAGACTGGACACATTCTTATGAGGGAGATGAACTCGACGAGTTCAAGGATGAACTCGGCGAGTCGGATGAAGATGGTCCCGATGGTTTGAATGAAGGAGAACCCGTCGATTTCTTGCTAGACTCGACGAGTGGAGTCGGGGTTGGATCGGGTTAGTAGAGTATGGACTCGACGAGTTAGTAGACCAACTCAGCGAGTCAGGTCAACTGGGTGTTGACTTTGACCAATGTTGACTTTGCTTGGTTTTCTTTATGTGCTAGGATGCTATGATATATGTGTTAGTAGTGGTAGGGGTGATATGGCCCCTAGTTACCGGTTGAAAGATACCGAAGGGGGAAGATAGTACCCATGCATGCCTAGCAGTATGAATATGATATGTTATTATGTGATAGTGGTAGGGGTGAAATAGTCCCCGGTTACCGGTTGAAAGATACCGAAGGCAGTTACCGGTCGAAATATACCGAAGGGGAGGTTAGTTCCCAGTTACCGGTTGAAAGATATCAAGGGGGAGGTTAGCTCCCGGTTACCGGTTGAAAGATACCGAAGGGGAGGTTAGCTCCCGGTTACCGGTTGAAAGATACCGAAGGGGAGCCCAGCTCCCAGTTATGCCAGACAGATACCGGTTGAAAGATACCGAGGGATAGGCATTATGTGGTATATGGTATGATGGGGGGAACTCACTAAGCTTTGTGCTTACAGTTTACAGTTTTGGTTTCAGGTACCTCTTCAGCGAAGGGGAAGGAGCCGGCGCGGTAGCGGCACATCACACACACACACTGGATTCCGCACTATGAGATTCTTAGGAAGGTACTCTGATTTTATTACTTTTGGTGATTTGGTTTTGAGACACGATATTATGGTTATTATGAATTGATGTAACAATGGTGATGTTTCGGTTAATTATTACTTAATTAAAATGAAATTTTTGGCCTAGAAAATTAGGACGTTACAAGTTGGTATCAGAGCCTTAGTTTGAGGGACATGGTAAGAAAATTTTCAAAAGAAAATCACTTTATAAAAAAAAGTTTGAAAAGAGATAAAGGAACTTCGAAAAAGAACAAGATGTGTGATGTGCGCAACCAGCCGAGCTCAAGTAAGTTTTCCCCAAGATACCCATACATGTTATGTTATGATATGATATGATTATGAGAGTTGCATGCTAGATTAGGGCTAGAGGATCTAGGAATGATGCCTTATATGCCTACTGTATATGTATGAGAAATGCATGCTAGATTAGGGCTAATGATCTAGGAAGATGCCTGATATGCCTGCTATATGTGCTTTTGAGCTGCGAGATGTTACTGATTAGTCAGTTATATGATAGCTTGGATAGAGTACGATTGGATTGGGCACTCAATGCCTGAATGTTGTTGCTTTGTGCTTCGAGAGTCCTAGTTATCTTTAGCTAACTAGTAAACGAATACGTTAAGTTACATATTGCGAGGACGAAATAATTCCAGAAGGTTAGGTCTAGCCCTACTGCGCAGCTCTTATTTGAGTCCAACCGTTGTGGGGTAGGACCTTTCATTCGAAGAATTATCTGGTCTTAGTAATATGTAATGGTATTCGCGAGCTAGTTAGGTAAAGGTAGCAGGGGTTCCTTATGCAGCTGATGGCGGAGAGTAGGTCGGAGAGTTACCATAGGGTAAGCCTAGGACGAGATTGGAAGAGAGTGCAACAGTAATAGGAGGGACTTGGTGAAGTCGAAGCAATCGTCGAGGAAAGTACGGATAGATGTGGAAGGTAGTATGGGCCCGTACTATTGAAAGCAGAGGATCCGTACTCGAATCGAGGAGGGCCGAGATGGAACCAAGAAACTTGTAGAGTGTGTGAAACCTCTCGAGGTTTATGTATGATTCTGATTTATGTGTTATGTTTCAGAATGGTGATGATCACACGACACGGAGGAGGAGGTTCAGGGTCAGGATCCGGTTCAGGATTAGGTTCGGGAGCCGGTACTGAGCCAGTTGATGAGGGACTACGTGAGTTCATTTCTTCTGAGATCACGAGAAGTATCCTTGAGTCGACCCC